TCCACCACAAATAAGTAAACCAGCTCGATAATCCACCACAAATAAGTAAACCGATCGAAAACTTGGCGCCGTATGCAAAACAATGCAACGTCGCCCATAAAAAAATAAAGACTATGATAAGTACAACGATTAAAGAGTGTAATTTTGCCAATGATAAAAGAAACTTTATACTTTTGAATACCGCGGACAGTGACTCATATTTAAAGAACAAAATTCGTTTTTTTTTAAGGTACTGCATTTTGAAGCTTCAAAAAATAAAGCCATATGATCTGTTTGCCATGCAAATGTCCTAGGCAAGCGTTCTAGGCAGTTGTCTAGTTTACCTATATGGACGGACGGCCCTGCCGATAAAATAGACGCATCTTCCAACAGATATGAATCCATCATCAAGCATATAAATATCATCAGCAGTAACTGTTGTATCATGTTATGTATTAAGTCTCTCTTCTACCTCCGCCTGCGTTTCCATTAAATACGCATCTAGAGTAAAGCCCTCGCTTGATTTCATCACAGAAAAAAAAAACAAAACAAAATTTATTTCGATGTTTATAGATTACATCAAAACCTATTTTTGTATTTAATTTAGTTAAGATGAAACATATTGGTCGTTATATCGACCTAAAAAACCTATTCAGAGTCATCTTTGTGATTTTTTTTTGCTATCGAGTCAATTATTGAAATTTATGTTTCTGTTTGCAAACAATCGACCATATGTTTAATTTTCATAAAATATTTTTTATTTGGCAAGTCTTAAAATAAAATTGATCAAAGTGGTAATTTCATAAAACCTAGCCTTAACTCCACTTCAGACGACTGAGCTGAGTGGTATGACTTAGCACATGAAAGCAGCAAACGAATACTGAGGAATAATAAAAAAGGTATATTTTACACTTTTCCTGTATTTCAGTTGATCGAATAGCTCCTCGTAACCTTCTTTGGCAATAAAACTTTTTAACTTCCATAATATAAAAGGGAAGTAACTTTAAAACGAAGTTTCCCCCAACAGGACACCAAATTAGACCGATTTGTTTCTTCCGAAAATCTCGGAAATTCAAATCGAAAATCGACCTTATTTGGATAATTTAATTACCTACTTTAGATATGTTTCATTTCCCGCTGCTGGTAAGCTGATAGCAATGAATCGGAATTTCAACTGATCTGGATAACTATGCATCGGTGGCGCACTAACCTCATCGGCGGCCCGGGGCGGCAATAGGCTCGGATCGACAACTTTTCCAATCGAGGTAGAAACTTGATATTGCGTTATATTTATCACAAATTTACTTTATTATGATTTTAGCGGATGGCTGCAGCCATTTGGGGACTGGACCGCCTCCTCTCGCCCCTTAGTCCGCCACTATACATACAAGTTTTTTTCATGCGCTTCGTATCATTAATTTAGATTAATATTTGATTTTTTTATTTATTTATTAATTCAAATAATTTAAATCAACTTTAATGGTAAAATAGCACTATAAAAATACTAAGGTTTGTCCATGTTACCAAGTATTTCATATTTAAATATCATCATTAGCCCTTTTACGTTGCCACTGCTCAGGCATTCCTTATGGATGGTTAATGAGGTGTTCATGTCCTACATAAATAAAACATAAATAGATAAAAAATGTATTCAATAATAATAAACAATAAAAAGAATTACATATACGATAACAATATAAGATAATTAATACATAAATATTCATAGATACATTAATTCCGATTTTGCATAACAGATGTCGCACTGCCATTTTGAATCGCAATATGATTGTATTATTGAGGATTTACATATACGTTTGTGATATTTAACATAAGGTTTTTGACTGTTACCACAAAATAAATGGTAAACGAAACTTCAGTCTTTCAATGAACTCTCGCTCTAGATTTGTTCAGGAGGATAGGCCATGATCTTCCACGCTGGACCAATACGGATTGGAGGGCATTAACGACTGCAAATGCAGCTTAACGTGCCTTTCGAAGCACGGACAGATCGAAAAAAAAAATTTTAGTCACCCATCCCGTGTCTGACCCTTACAAAAGTCGCTTAACAACAATAATCGTGATGCTTATCCGCTACGCCACTGAACTACTCAAAATTTATATGTAAATATTAATAATTTAAAATTAATTAACCGGTCTAATCGGAGCCCTGATGCCAGGAGCCTGATCTCTAGATGCACCTATAATATAATCGTTATATTTTGTCTTAAGTACGCTTTAAATCATATTTCACAGTTTCATTATCCTTTTATTAAATTTGATTTTAATTAATAGGTGCTTTATTATTCCCAAAGAATACGATTCAATGAAATAGCTGAATAAGAGAAAGTGATATTTAGGTTATTATATTTGATCAATTTTTCATTCACATATTATTTTTCATTACTGGAAAATATTTTTAATGAAAAATGACTCGAACCCGCGACCTTTTGCAATCTAATCTACAAAGGACCTAACAAGACAGGCGAATTTTTTGACGTGGATACGTCTATGTTTTCGTTCTACAGGGGGGTCATTCTGTGAGCAGGAGCATATGCACTAACGCCATCTATTGGCGTATAAGTGAACTATGCTTGCTCTGCAGGGGGAGGGGCATTCTGTCAGCAGGAGTATATGCACTAACGCCATCTGTTGGCGCTAGTGAATACTTTTTTCATTCAACAAATGAACGCAACGAATATTTATTTTTTAATTATTCATTTATAAATGCAATTATGCCACAACGTTGCATAATTCCGGGTTGTTTTGGAGAAGCGAATCGTTCAGTTTTTAGAGTGCCAAAGAACATTGATTGATTCACTTTTTCCAGATGAAGTAGAAACTCATCCCTAATTCTTACTCGCTCGCTCTTGATTTTTTGTTTTGTGATTGTTTGTGTTGTGAACTTTGAATTTAATTTTGTTATTTTATTAACGACCGACTTTGTGATTACTCAAACGATAACCTGGATTGATAATGGATTTACGTACGCATACGAAATGGAATCTATCTTTTGTGTTAATTGTGGTTCTGCTAGTGGTTCCATAGTATTGGAAAATGAGCAATTTTACACTGTGTACAACAATGGACAGCACCTCGTTTGGTAAGCACATTTTGATCTTTTGTAAATATCATTTTAAACTAATAGCTTGTAAATGTACTTATTAAATTTCATCGTAATAATAAAATTAATTGTCATTGACTATATTTTGTAGGTTGAAGCTCATGATCTTATATGTACGACATGCTGGAACAAAGCCCAAGATACTACATGTACATCGGCGACAATCAATGTTGGCCTAAACTATGTACTCTGCAGTAAATCACTGGGAACTCGAATGCATTTTCATCAGTTAATTTCATTAAGAACTGATACTCTATATCATAATAATATTAAGAATATTATTAAAGAAAGACCATTAGAGGTAAATTAATTGACATATTCATAATACAAACTAAGGATTTGTAAACTGCAACAGATAACAACTTGTTTATCACTTTTTTATCAATTACTCATATATCCATTCATACATAGACGTATCCACGCATAAAATATGGCTGTATCAATGATACAGCCAAACCAGGGTTTTTTTCTATATTGAATCGTGTCTGGGTGTTGTGATATCTGCGTTATCTCAGATATTCAATAATACAGTGGCTTTAGCTACCTACTCATCTTGGAATCTGAACAATGTATGTGATTTTTTATAATATATAGATATAATGTGGCCTATTATAATGACCCAAATGTAATGTTGACATTAAAATAGCTTTTTCATTCGTTAATAAATAAAAATACTGTTTTCTTAATATTAATTTTCAAGCACTTTTTACTTTTCACTACTAGTGAGCGTATTTTTTCATTAACGTTCAGGAAATCCCATCTCAGAATACTTGGGCTGGTAGATTTTTGAAACATTTTTCATTATGATATTTTGGTGTTTCACGCTTTTGTTTACAATAACTTAATTTCGTGTGAAATAGGTCACCCCCAATTACGAGATGCGGCGTAAAGCTAAAAGATTGTTCAGGGCTATCTAATTATGCTCGACATTGTTATAATATAAATGCTAAGCAATGAGTTTTTCCCTATGAATAATGAATCGAATAAAATGTAAAAATCAGGTGTATTTTTACTTCTGCGGTCTCGGTGTATCTTTTAAAAATATACAAAAATTAATAATTTTGATATGTTTTATCATCTTGAAACTAAAGTAGATTTTAGCCATTGTATTATTGAATGTAACACCTTTTGCGGAGAACTTTTTGGATAACCTGTACAATAGGACACACCCGTGGGAGTATTAAGTTTTGTTATCCCACCCTGGAAAATAAATGTTTACGCGAAAACTTTTCTTCGAATTATACTTTCTCTTATTGTATCCTGAACTGAAATTAGAATACGCGGTGCGCCTAAGTAAATACTTTATAGATACGTTTTAAAAGTTACAAGGATTTATGTAGAAATATCTTATGGATTCTTTTTAAAAAACTTCAAAAAGGGTGGAGACAATCGTTATTGTGTAGTAGTTATATTTGAGGAATCTTTATTATCTGAAATTATTTATTCCTTCCATAACAATTTTATAAATATAATACAATACACTTATATGAGTAGTTTCATTGTTTACCTAAAAATATAAGAATTTAACGTTCACTAAAAATAATAATATAAAAATGTTTTAAGATAAATATTAATGTAAAATCTATTTCAAAAGTAAATATAACTAATTAGAAGGGTGAAAAGAGATCATTTCAAGAAACGCGGTTAAAATAATGGTCACACTCGTTTGTCAAAATATTTATTAATAAATTATCAATATTAAAAAAACTACTACGAAACAAAATATGAATGCTTGAAATGAGGTAGTGGAAAATGATTGATTGAACCACAACGCGTATTGCTAGTAATAATGTTGATAGTTTTGATGGTATTAACGAGACGAAGATGATAATGAAAATGATACAAATGTTAACCGTGGTGAGATTGCTAATGGAATAGATAATGATACAAATATTATCAGTGGTGAAATTGTCAATAGAATAGATGATAATGAAATTAATACAAATGTTAATCGTGGTGAGATTGCTAATAGAATAGATAATGACACAAATGTCATTAGTGGTGAAATTGACAATAGAATAAATGAAAATGATACAAATGTCAACCGGGGTGAGATTGCTAATGCAATAGATAATGATACAAATGTTATCAGTGGTAAAATTGACAATAGAATAGATGAAAATGAAATTAATACGAATGTTAATTGTGGTGAGATTGCTAATGGAACAGATAATGATACAAATATTATCAGTGGTGAAATTGTCAATAGAATAGATGATAATGAAATTAATACAAATGTTAATCGTGGTGAGATTGCTAATAGAATAGATAATGACACAAATGTCATCAGTGGTGAAATTGACAATAGAATAGATGAAAATGATACAAATGTCAACCGGGGTGAGATTGCTAATGGAATAGATAATGATACAAATATTATCAGTGGTGAAATTGTCAATAGAATAGATGAAAATGATAGGTACAAATGTTTACTGTGGTAAGATTGGCAAATGATAATGATACAAATGTTATCAGTCGTGAAACTGTCAATAGGTTAGATGATGATGGAAATGATATGAATGTTAACTGTGGTGCGATTGTACGGGAAGCTACATCATAAGCTATTGACATAGGTAAAGTCGAAAATGGTGGAGCAGTAACGATATTGGTGACGGTATTTTATGATGGTGGCGAATTTGCTAATTTTGTTTTATATTTTGTATTCAAAATTAAAGGTGTTAAGTGGTTCACAATCAAAGGTAATATTCCTTTGTTGTCCTTTGATTGATATTTCATTAAAAACTAGCTGTGCCCGCGTCTTCGTCTGCGTGGGAAGTATTTTGGTAGAATTCTTTTTTTCCTATGAATGCAGACGAATCGAATAAGATCAATGGGCCATAACCCACTACGCTGGCTTAATGCGGATCGGTGGGTGTTAACGTTGCTGATGCAGCCAGGACTAACGGCTTAACGTGCATTATGCTAGTGTTGTGCACAATGCTCAAGACAATAATGTTTTGGTCACCCATCCTGTAAACGGTCCTTACGAATGTTATTTTTCTATTTTTTCTCGTTTCTCGCGCTCTGGTTGTCGCTTGTGTCTGAGCATGTAAATTCTTAACTCTTATATAAAGTCCGTCTCTCGTACGTCAATCAAAAAGTTACGTTCTACTCAGTTCATGGAAAACAAAACCATATAAATTATCTAATTGAATTAAATCTAGGGGCAAATTCTATTCAATCTTGGTTTAAATTTAGAAGGAAAAGATGCAACGATCCATCTTCGTCGGTACGACTTTTGTCTCGTAACATGTACTTACATATGTATTATGTATTAAGGTTGTGTAGTAATCTCCTCAGCTGCTTCTACATACAGACGTGCTCTTACTAACAGCGAAATAATTTCACTGCCCATCATACTGTTGAGCAGTATTTATTATAAGGCAAAAAGAACTGTTTCCGTATCTTGACATTAGTGTGTCTGTGTGTATGTATCTAACCATATTAATTTTATAAAGACTAGTTAATATAAAGATAAAGCATGTAGAGCTCCTCCTTGTTTTAGAAAGCACATTAACCCGTTGATTCAGGCTGCATCAGCAGCAGTTAACACCCACCTATCTGCATTGGGCCAGCGAGTCATGGCCCGTTCTACCCATTCGACAAAATTCGACCCTATCCATAAGGAAGGTCTATGCCTCAGGAGTGAGGCAATTAATAGATTGGTGATCATGATGAGTATCTCGGTGGCGTAATGGATAAGCACCGTGGCTTGTTAAGCAACTTTCGCAAGGTACGGTCACGGGATGGGTAACCAATAAAATATTATCTCGAGCTACTCCGTGCTTTGGAAGGCACGCTAAGCCGTTGGTCCCGCATTGGTCCTGCATTTGCAGTCTCGCTTGGTATTTTGTAATAATTATCCACAATAAAGTCACTGAACTTGACACTAAATATGGTAACATTATCCATTTAGTACTGCACACGCCAGCAACAGAGCCGCGTCCTTACCCTTTTTTCCCAAGACGGGCGGGGTGTCGCGTAATTGTGTCGCTCCAGATGAAACTCTCGCGATTGTTTAGAATTTTGAATGGCTCCTCTACGTAGCAACAATATTGCCTGGAGACCAACAATGGCCGAATCATTACTTGTTTGTGCCAATAGCATAATTAGTTTTGAATGTGAAACACTCGGATTAGTGGGATGTGTTTTATTTGTAAAGAACAAGCCCCGGAGTGGAAATAAAGTTTTGAATAAAGTCACTAATTACCAGGGTTCGTTTTGGGATTGGATGATATATAAAGTGTTCTTTCATTAGATCTTTTGTTTATAACGGACCAATCACATATTCGTATTTACATGATGAAATTTCTTATTTCTATCTATCGTTATTTAGAGAAGTTCGGTGGCGTAGTGGATAGGAGACGTGGCCTGCGACCGTTGTTGCAAGCAACTTTCGCAAGGGTCTGTCACAGGATGGGTGACCAAAAAAAATTTGCTCGAGCTACTCCGTGCTTCGGAAGGCACGTTAAACCGTTGGTCCCGGCTGCATGTGTAGTCGTTAATACCCACCAAACTATACTGGGTCATGGCCCATTCTCCTTATTCAATTTGATTCAATTCCATCCATAAAGAAGGCTTGACCCTCAGCAATGGGAACATTAATATGTTGGTGATGTTGATTTTTATAAACAAAAGGTCACTATTTTGTATAAAATATTTTTTATTATGTGCCAATACGTTTTTCTATTAGACTCGACACTTCCAGTCGATTAAAGCAACAGAACACCTAGTGTCATGAAATATTGTCACAGTTTCGTGTCTTGCTTTAGAACAGGATCGCTCATATCTACTATTTCAAACGCACAATCATCATCAACTTCCATATCCAGCTGCAAAGAAAAAAAGAAGTAACTAAATAACATAAAATTTAAAACAAACGCCTAGCTGTACGTAATGTTAGAGTTATTAAGAAAATCATTTTATAATTAATTTATAATTTGAAATCTTATAATTGAAACTCTAAAAGCTACTTAAGTTTGAGTCTGCAATATTTTTTTTCACTCCGTGTTCCCTACGTGTTTAAAAAAATATATATATGAAAGTAACACATTCCGAATAACATCTCAAGACCATGTCAGTGTTTTTTTTTCTATGGGATAGAGGGCAGACGAGCAGACGGATCACCTGATGGTAAGTGATGACCGTCGCCCATGGACATCTGCAACACCAGAGGGGCTACAAGCGCGCTGCCGGCCTTTTAGGGACGAATATTATCATAGGGAGGGAAGGGTTGAGGGGTAGAGGGAAGGGAATAGGGAGGGGTTGGGCCTCCGGTACCCTCACTCACACGACGAAACACAACGCAAGCGTTGCTTCACATCGGTTTTCTGTGAGGCCGTGGTATCACTCCAGTCGAACCGGCCCATTCATGCCGAAGCGTGGCTCTCCCACGGTATAAATGTTATATTTTTTTAATAGTCGTGGGATATATTAACAAAGTTTTATTGTGAATATATTCCACATTCTCGGGTTTATTTTAGAAATTAAATTATCAAACTAAAATGAACGACCTCGAAGACATATCCTATACTGCGCCTATATTATAATTAGCAACGTATTTATGTAATTTTTTTATCTACCATGACAGCAGCCTACGAGAGAGAGTCATACCTCATTACCACCTACTTCGTCTTCGGTATGTGTTCCAACTGACATTGAACGTTTCTGAAATAAAAAATATTTATGTTAATAAGATTAATAGGTAACTAATGTTGCCTGATCCTATTGGTTTATAGATCCAATTGGCATTTCAATTGATATGAATATTCATCGACATTAAGGCAGCTTTTAATATTGATATTTGCTATCAACAGCTTGTGCGTGGTCACATACAATGCTCAGATTCCGAGATAGCTGAAATTCTCGTATTATGAAGTATCCGAGACAACTAATATACCACAACATCCAGACCAGAGACAATCACCCGAAATACCGCGAATCGAACCAGGGATGCCAGAGATGGCGTAACCGGCTGGCGTGCGACTCGATTACGGAGGTCGTTGAAAAATAAATTAGGCAAGAAAATATTTTTAAATGCTCCTCGTACAAAAAAGCAGATAGCAACAATATAAATAAAAAGTGACGTCACTAATAATTTTAAACATGCTTGATAAGCTGTCGTCAACAATATTAATGCAAATAAAATCAAAACATAACATTTCGAAATTATTAATAAAATCAAAGTACAACGAAAAAGTGCGAAGAATTATTAAGTGATAAAAACAAATCGTTATACGATAGTAGATTCCTACATCCAAACTTTTTGTGTTTAACCTTTAAGATTATTTCTTTTTTTATTTGAAATTTTGAGTAACAATATATGCTCTTTCCGAATGTGAAAAATTCATCCGGTGAGAACATGTTAACTTAATCATATAAATCAGTATTATTTCAATAAGAAACATATATGTGTCGTGAAATATCAACTAAGTTCTACCTATAAAGGAAAACCTAGAAACGGTTTTTTTTTTTCTATATCATAAATATACATACTATCAAGCCTAATCAGCTGTTTCATTTACTACCAACATTGAAACACCGAACCCGTCACTCTAGTACTGTCTAAACTAAGTCATAAAAAGACAGAGGTATACGAGTACATAAATGTTAGGTTTCTTGGATTCAAAGACGTCAGTAAAATTTTTGTAATGTTGTACTTACAATACTTTGTCTTCTAAAATGTTCTTTTTTCAAGGATTCTAACTTCGTCTTCTCTTTTCTTTTGAAAAATTCCAGCTGAAATGTAATAAATATTCTCAATGACAACACTTTGAAAACCAATTTTTTTACACAATTTTTTTGAAAACCAATTTTTTTATGGAACAATTTATTCACAGAAAATGTAAATAGAAAAAGAGCTTTGTCAATTTTGAAACTATTTGACTGAATTGATACCTATTTACAATTTTGATGTTACATAACGTATTACAACCCGGACCAAAGCATTTGTTTATAAAACTTCAGTTGAAATCAATTGAAATCCATATATGGTGAAAAACACCCACAATTATAATTATTTATAGATAAATGTTTATTTTTATACCTTATAAAGAATATATATGAAGATAGACAATGCTATTAAAGCTCCAAGAATTGCCAAGAAGATGATCAACTGCTTGTTCTGACCCAGCGACAGTTCCTTTTGTAATGTGATTACTGTTGATAGTCTAAAATTAAAAGGTAAATTGGTAAAAGTATAATAGCAGTGCATTATAAGAAAATTATGTACACATGTGCAATCTCGGAAAATGAAAACAGTATTGTTGGTCGTCACCACCTACATATCGTTAATACTAATAAATTGGGTTTATACAACAAACCAATTCTGATAATGATTACGTAATAAATCACATCTCAGCGACTTACATTTTACCATCTACCCGAAGTCCAATATTAATTAGTGCAATCCCTTCCTCACACATCAAAGACAGACATATAATAATACTAGTGGCCGCCAGCGACTTCGTCCGCGTTTTCCATTATTTCTTCGCTCCTAATAGTTGCAGCGTGATGTTATATAGCCTAAAGCCTTCCCCAATAAATGGTCTATTCAACACAAAAATATTTTTTCACTTCGAACCAGTAGTTCCTGAGATTAGCGCGCTCAAACAAACTCTTCAGCTTTATAATATTAGTATGGATTAGACTTCAGCCCTGCGATTCTGTGAAAATCTAAACAGAATTCGAATTCACTCAGGTTTCCGAATTCACTTCAAAAAGCGGCATCCGCTCAATCTTGAATTGGCAATAACGTTTCGTGGCATAAGTGAGGTGAGTTTCGAAATGACGTAGGAATAGAATGTCTAAGACATATATAATCAATCAATTTTGTTTTGTTTTTTAAACAAAAAATAGAATCAATAGAATTTCTTCACTAAATGGCGTGAATTCGGTCAGAATTAGCCTTCTGTAAATCTGTATGTATACCGTGGTACGGATCGCAACATTTCATTATCTTTGCAAAACTTTATTTAAAATACATTGACGTTGTGGATGATAATGGATAATGTAATTTACAATAATTACATTTTTTTTATGAGATGATATATATTTACTTATATACAAATGAAGCTATTTGATAAACTATTCAACAATATTAACACCATAGATAAAACAATAAAAATATTTTTGACTACAATATTTATTGTGTTTGGAACATCAACACTTAAATGTAATAAAACATTAAATGTTAAAAATCCTAATAAAAGAATATAAATTGCTTTTAAATAGATATTATACTATAAATTTATAGGTTAAAATAATGTACCTACTTTATTTTTTTCCTAAATAATGTAGTATAATCTAGTAATAAAGTTAAAGATGAGGCCACTTTCAACTTTCCGTCTTCCAAGTTTTCCACTGTAAATAAATATTCCAAAGTGAACAATTAGATATTTTTTGCCTTAAAAAAACTATTAATGAATAAAATATCGACATACTTATCTTTGATTTCGATATGCGGCTAGTCGCAATCACCTTGATAGTAGCGTGAGGCATTAAGTTTAAGGTGCAGTTAAAAATTATAATACTTGAAGTGGAGAACTCTATGCAATCATACGACGACACCTACGGAATAATGGAATTACACATTCTTTTAATTATAGGCAAATGTAAAAAATAAAAGAAAAGAGATATTAAACACTTTTTTCTAAGTATGATAGCGTCCTTCGAGGATTTTTTTAGGTCCCCAATTCCTTAATGTGCTAATTTTATTAAATCATAAATCGAAAATATTTTATTATCATTATGTAATAAACTGAGAAATTTTATCTTACATCGTATGACTGAATGAAAGGTTTCTTATCTATTGTAATAATCACAGTCATATTCTTCCATGTCACAGAGCCCTTGTTGATCACCTGTACAAACAAAAAGAGATTCACCTCTCCAAAAATATACCTTACACTCTTCATTGCAATTTTAGCATTTTAGTATTCTTTATAATTTACAAAATAATTACTTTATTTATTTACTCAATAATGAAAACGTTAATATGTTTTTCACGAGAGTTCAAAGTAAATTTCTAAGCTTATATTATTCATGGCAAACAATTTAAACTTATCTTCCTTAACTTAGTGAATCGGAAGGATATCAGCATAGAAACTTCGTTTTATTTTAATATGTCAAGTCTTTTCGCATTCTGAACAGTATTATCGTTATCGAATATATAAATTCATAATTATATTTATTTACCCAATATTCGTGTGCATCATTGATCGTTTCAACTCTAAGATCTCGTATTTCTACATCAGAAACTGTACGATTGTGTCCTAAACTGAAATAAGATGCAACCATTTTAATATTATCTTCAGTAAAAGGTACTTTTGGAATTTCAATATTACTCAATTTCTTCAAAATGTGATGACAACTGATAACAGGCATAAAAGGCTTATGAAACTCAACCTTTTCACAAGTATTTGATCAATATCGACTTTATACGGCATAATCCATTCAAACTCTTTGCTGGTTGCATTCGCCTGGTTGCAGAAGTCAAAGACAGAGGCTTGTATTCGCAACTCCTTTTGCTGTGTCGACGGTTGACTCATATTGAAAGTGATAGGGATTTCGTACTGTAAATAAATATAAAATAAGTTAATGATAGTGTTACTAGTTACTTGCTAGCAGTTTTTTTTTTTATTTGATTATGTGAAAATTCTTATAAGATTTTGTCTGCTCAGAGGAAGTGAAAATTGGGCTACAGAATTTTTCAACGCGATATATTCTGAAAGAGTAAGGGAGGAACAATGTTTTACTATATGTATTCAAATGCATAGGCTGTGTTCGACGCGTCTTTCCATTCTGTACAAGGTCAGAACGCAGTGGTATGACCTAATCACGTATAGATTGTAAATCACCTTTTTACTAAGGCCTTTCAATCTTTACAAGTCTATTACGCAAATATTCAGCTTTACTACGTAGCGACCTAAATTACTAGTTTTTTCTATAATATACATTACCAGTACGCATACGGACTAATCGTGTATAGATAAGTGCGCCGACTCCTAAACTCCAATCTATACGCGAGCAGATTCAGATATATCTATAGACATGCATGACTATTAACAATGTTACAGTACAGCCATTACTGAAGAATTTATTAAATGAAAGTAGAACTCATTGAATTGAAAGAATAATTTGAAAGTTAAATAATGGTGTCACAAACGAACAGGCCCTAAACATCATATTCAGTAATTTCAAAAAAAGGATGGAACCTAGTCGCGCGTATTTATGTTACAAACTAAACACGAGCAGTACGCAAATTCCATGTATACAATGAAACCACAGTTTTTTAAATAACATTACAATATACAGGGAGCATCAAAATGACCGACACAGCCGAAAGTTTCAAGTTAGGTTACATGCAAACGTTCATTTTATTTGACAAATATTTCAAAATAGAGGAGGTGTAAAAATGGAGTAAAAATTTTAAATTTCTAAGTGTTGAGAGCCCTATAACATGCGCAGTATCGATTGTGCGCAGATAAGAACGGACCGCGAAAAACATTAATTTAATTTAATTATTTCATCATCATCAGCCCTTTTACGTCCCCACTGCAGGGGCTCAGGCCTTCCTTGTGGATGGTTAAGGAGGATGGGCCATGACCCTCCACGCTGGCCCAATGCGAATTGGAGGGTATTAACGACTGCAAATGCAGCCGGGACCAACAGCTTAACGTGCCTTCCGAAGCACGGAGTAGCTCGAGATAATAATTTTTGGTCACCCATCCCATGACCGACCCTTGCGAAAGTTGCTTAACGACAACAATCGCGGGCCGCGGCACTTATACACTACGCCACCGAGCTACTTTAATTATTTACCGATATCTTAATGATAGTCGATGCTGAAAATGTCCAATTCTTCACTGAAGACAGCTAAGCACGCTCTTTTGCATGCCAGTGCATGCACGCGCAAAACACATCACATTTCACACAAAACTAAACACAATCTTCACTAAACTAAACTTAACACTCAAGACGAACACTGTAGTATCTTATTAACAAAAAATCAATTAATGCACTAGAACAAAACAAAAATCGACAAAAAGTCGCTTCGCAGCGGTACGGCAGCGATGCAGTAACGTGCTTCACGCGCAAATGTCCGGCGGTGACTAAAACAAAGGCGCCGACGCCGATAGAACAAAAAGCCGCGCGCACGGCGAGTGAATGAGTTTCAGCATTTTGACTGATTCGTTTAGTGATAGTCAGTTTGAAATTGTTAAAAAACAGTTACCTAACATTACTTAGTTTTCGTTTGCGGTTAGTTTTTTGATGATCAGTTGATAGCAGTTACATAAAACTAGGACTATTTGACTCGTGAAATAAAAAAAAAACGTAGGTTATTGAGAATAATCAGTAGAGATTTTCTACTTTTTTCAAATCTGAAACCGTCTTCGATCCATCAACCAATCGATTTAAGCATTTTGACTGCCTTTTTTAGTGATTGTGTGGTAGAATTTGCATGAAAGCGGTCTTATAAATCATAAACTAGTTTATTTCGTTTTTAGAAATGAAGAAGTCATTACCGATTTAAAACTTGTTCCTTAGTACATCACAAAAACAGCTGACTCAGGGTTGAAAACACTCATTTTTTCCAAAAACTTTGTAATTTAAATTCTCCGAAACTATTTGACCTAGACATAATTTTTTTTACATCATATTAAAGACAAATAATACTCTCCAGGAACCTCGGGAGTGTCGGTCGTTCTGTTCCACCCAGTATACACGCTCAGTTTCCTATGGCTGCGTTTTGGCCTTGTAAAGATAGGAAAGACGCGGCTTAGACGGGTCGTCTTCTCCGTGGCTCCTGGTTCTGATTCTCAGCCGGATCAATGTATTAAAGGAATGTTTTTTAATATTTTCGCTTTAGTTTATTAGTTGTGATATCTTCATTGGTTTATATTTTTTAATAATACAAAACAATCAGTTACTTCAATTGATATCTGACAAATGTTTATTATAAATAAACTAGGAAATATTTTACTACCCCAGCGTTCCTTTTCAGAGGTTTAGGCATGTGACACTTGTATCCATCGATGTAATCTCCACAATCAATTTGCAATACTGGAGCTCCACTCACACGTACTAATACGCATGCTTCAAATGAACTGTTCCCTCTATTCCGAACTTTCAACAACGGAGATAGTGAGTCTGAGGAATCAAGTTGGTAAAAGTCCTCGCTGAAACAAATATACACGCCAAAATAGTTTTAAACCTGGTCAAATTTCTAGATTTCTCAACTATTATATTTTTTTTTATAAAATAAATTATAATAAACTTTTTGCATAAGCTATGTTTTAAAATATTCAAGCGATAGATTTCACGAGTAAATATAGGAGTAATAATAGGAGTTATAGTGGTTAAGCAAATGTCAGATTTAAAAAATTTATCAAAACTAAAGTATTGCTTTGGTAGAATTTATCCAACAATTAAATAAAACTCTAACTCAATAAATAATCGAACTCATCGAATGAGAAAAGGAAACCATTAAAATATCTAACGCGCGAACATTTTAGTACCTCAAGGGCCAACTTATATCCACAATCAAGTCAGGGTCACAGTCTTTCCCGGTACAGTGTCGAGATACTTCTAAACTGGATTCCAAGGAACTCTGGGAACTTATCATTGCCCAACGGGTATTAAATTCTGTAAGCCACAAATCTGTAACTGTATTATGTAATAAAATCAAGCAATGCAAAGACGTTTCTATTGTCTGAAGAAAAAATTATAATCAATCTACGATTATTAATAATAACATTTAATTTGTATTAGTCAGAATATAAAAATAAATGTTATTATGGCATAGATATACCGGTTATAATCAATTGTAATATATTTTTACTTACAAATAATAATCTCTGAATTCAATTTGAAATACATTATACAAATCTTGAAGGATCGATGCAAATGAAATACTCTTAAAAGTATCTATTATTTCGCATTGGAATAATCCATCCTATGTGCAATGGTGAATGTTATCTACGAATATACTAACATTATAAAATAGAAAGATTTGATGTTTGGTTATTTGTTTTTTTTTTTGTATAGGCTCCGATTCTAATTGAAAAACTCTTTCACCTACTATATCTATATCATACACAAGAAAAACTCGTGAAATACACAATTTATGCGAACAAGTAGCGGTAAAACAGCTATTATAGTATCATATTTTCTTCTGTCCGATATGCTCCGACCTCTAATAGTTTTGTAACTTTTAACGCTAAAACATAATTCTAACAAGTTGGGGGAAAAGTTTCTTCACATTTTATATGAAAACTAATTTAACTATAATAAGTATGTAGGTACGAGTCGTCGCGTGATGTTAACCTGACACTGCCTGAAGAATTCTGAAGAGATCGAAAAGATGGAAATTTGAAGATGCAACGCAGGACTATACGACGCTTTCATTAACACCTCCAGCCAATCTTAATTTTTACTGATTTGCAAAATATGTGTGAGGTCTAGCATTATCATGATGAAAAAACACTCCTTATATTATTAATTTTGGTCGCTTTCTCTCAACTTCTTTATAAAATCTCATTAGTTGTTCGCAGTAGAGTTCAGACTCAATGTTCCTGACTGGCGGTAACAGCTTATAATGAATAATGCCCTTTCAATCCCGTCACACATACAGTATCACCTTGTTACGAGTTAATCCGGGTTTCGTCACAGTCTGTGAAGCCTTACCAAACTTTGAACATGACCTTTTTCGCACGTTCTTATGGTACGTGATCCACATTTCATACCAGTTATCAGTTTCTTCAAAAACGCCGTAATAAAAAATCACAAATGAGTACAGAGTTCATTGGGTTTCTTTCAGTAAGCTCGTGAGGTACCCAAATATCCAAATTTTTGTGTACTCTCTGTGCTACTCTCTCAAAAACTGCACTGGGTCCTTAAATGTCACAATTTTTTTTGCGACTTGGATTGCATTTTCCTTTTTTGTAATAAAATTTAAAAAATTATCTAATTCATTCATTACATTCACTCGTTTTGACAGTAAGAAAAACAAATGAAAATCACACATTTTCCTAATTAAAATTCGAAGTTACTTTTTTTTTAATTATAACTTTTTAATGATACCGAAACCAGCCAGAGACAAATTGTATAACCAGAAATATTTTATTACAAGTTTCTGAATACTATATGCGAAAAGACCTTTTCCCCAACCTAATAAGTTAATTCAATATACTTACCATTACTATTTATTATTTTATCTTCATCCATCTCTAAATTCGTTGAAAAACTATACTCTCCAGGTTCATTAACATTATTCTGAAATATTATACCAACAATTTCGTACCTGAATTAGGCATCATAAATGTGTTTAACTAAAGTACCTAAACAAATATTTAGGCAGCGGGTAATATGTGTTGCAAACAAGAACTTTAACTGGTTATACACAGAGATTTACTGCTATTGTATTAAGTGCTGTATGTTTCAACTAACAAAAGCGAAATTCCTGAAAACGACTTTTATGAGGCTTAAATTCAATTCCCATTTTTTGTGTAAAGTTAGTCACATAAAGCCAGTTTCACCCAGGTAATGTCTAAGATGACAACCAAAATGTTTTCCACAATATGTAATGTTTCCACTTAAAGAACAAACAATTATGGCAACAAATGCAAAATGGATATATAACTAGTTATTATTACATTTTGAAGTAATATTTAATATTAAAGGATAATAATAAAAACCTTTACTTACTAATTTCACGAGTACCTCTTTGCATCTTATTTCTTCTAGTTTATTACCTGACACTGTCCATTGTATATTCATTTGCGATGCTTCAATCTGAGCACCGTTACCAATCACTTCATTAGTAGCTTTTAAATCTGGAGTCCAGAAAAAAATAATATTTATTTTTATATAATGATGGCAATTCATTGTACCGTGATCTAAGCTAAACTCTAATTTCTAATTCCTATTTACTCCTCTATACTCTTCTACTTTTTTTATAGATACCGTAAGATTTACTTGAAATTTGACTAGTTTTCGTTGTCACGAACAAGGAACGGCGGTTATTTGCAGTTGCCATCAGCGCTCGTTTCAGTCTGGCAACACTCATGAATTATTGAAATTTACTACTGAACCTCACAAAGCTTCTCATATTTTTCCGTGATGTCACCAATATCATGTGCAATGACACTTCTAGACTTCTCTCTTCGAGAATTTTCGAAGTGGAAAGCAAAAAATACACCACAAACAATCTTAAAGTCAAAACTGAAATCCTACAAGTTATTGACGAAATTCGTCCACATATACGTAATAGTATGATTGGGAATTTCGTGATAAGGGTTAAGCGTTTGTCGACAAAGCCAAAACGAATATTTGTCTGATGTAATATTTTGTTTGTTTACAGTAATCTCTGTTTCCATATTTTCTTTGTAAAGGAAACATTATTAAAATAAGTTGTCCGAACAAACCACTTAACTTGATTACAAAGCATGGAGTAGCTGGAGATAATATTATTTTTGGTCATCAATCCCGCGACCGACCCTTACGCAAGTTGCTTTACAACAACGACCGCGGGTTGTTGTACTTATAGAAATAGAATGATTTACGATTATGAATATAAGAGAACCATGACTGATTGATTCTCATTTCTATTGTTCTTGATATACATATATCAAATATGTATACATCAACGTAATTAGTATTATTTGAAAGAAAGCCAATTATTTTGCTAGTTTTATCGATATTCATATAAATAAATTTGATAATTTCATTTTTTTTTTCATTGATCTGTGTAATAAACTTAATTTAGGTTCCAATTGCGTACATACTATTTTATTTAGTAACCCTTTTAAAATATGTCTACAAATCTTACTTATTAGCGGCCTGTTATTCAAACTCTACTTTAAATATGGAAACTAATACTATTCCAACAATACTGTCTGGCAACTTTATTTATCCAAACACGCATAAAGTTAATTAGATAAGCTTATTTGATATGAGAATGCTATCATACATACCGATTGTATAATTACTACCCTTGAGATGTTTTACACTTATACAGACATTAATTGTAAAATTATCGTCTTGCTCTTTTACAATCTGAAAAATAAATAAAATATCTTTATAGATAAGACTGATGTTAATAATTTATTTCTAACATTGCTTATGCAATTTCCGCACAGTTTTCAATTTTTTTCAATTCACAATTTTCAACCGTAAAATTCTCGACTGAAAATATAAGCGGTTTACGATTTATTTTGAAATTTGGTAATAAGATCAGTCTTGATCTGCTCGAAGTTAAAAAAGGTTTTATTTCATTGCAGCTCTCCGCTATAATGGCGGTATGCACGACGTCGAATTCAACGCTGATTTAATTACAGAATAACGTTGTAGCTATATCTAAACTGCGTGCTTAAATGTAATTAATTAAATTTTAGTTAAAACTAAATACGTACAAATGACGAAATTTATACACCACAATGAATAATTATATTAATTAGATTATATGTAATATATCTCAATATGAAAATAGATAAAAATAATATCAATATCTTATACCTTAGCACCAACAAGTGTAGTAGAAACGTTAACATCAACAGAAGGTATGCACCTCATTAAAATAATTTCATTTGATCCAGGCGCGCCAATAGCCAATTCTGTAACAAAAAAATCATTTAATAAAGCACGTTAATAAACATTAGCTTAAGGAGCTCTAATTTTCCGGACTTAGATGCTTTTAGACAGTCCATTTATTGAGCACGTATAGTTTATTCAGTTTTAATTTATTAATATTTTAAAACCTACATTAGATATATGTAAGTAGGTTTAGGTATGAAAGTTGACGTTAAATCGGAAAATGATTTTTAAAGTCTGTGTTACTTCCTATTAAAGTTATTTAAATAGAGACATTGTATATTTTGTAAAAGACTAAAATTTCTTTGTAAGATATTTTTAGAACATTCAGTAATTATTTTGTTCAGATTAGCGTCGTGTTATTTCTTTACAAAAACCCACATTTTTGCAAGATTAGTTTCGACGCAATCGTTGGAAAGTAATAACAAATATTTATCTAACAAGACATAAAAACACATGAAATGGACCGTCAAAGAATACAATGTCAATAAAAAGCATGAAACCCATAAAAATGTCACAACGCTAACTCACCATCACACCCGTTGTTATTCTTATCAGGAATATTTTGTAAACTGTAACCAAACGTTTTAAACTCTTCACGTGATATCTTTTGAGTTCTTTTTAGTGTAGCTAAAGGTGTGTGCTTGTGTTTATGTTTGCTTATCACCATTTCATTTATTTCGAAACCTGATAGTATATACACTGCCCCTATTCCATTGCCTTCGTAGGGGGCACTCACAAAAATTTCTGCAAGAAAAAATATGCAGCTTGATTACGTATTCAAGGATTCAATAAAAAGCTTAACAGGGTTAGAGATTGTTTCCACTCAAAATAGTATTTGTTCTCCGTTGTCTGTATGCTGAGACTTGAACTTTTAAACTAGACAACGGATGTTAATGAGGTTTTCATCAATATAGTAAGGAAGTTGATATTTTAGAGAGTAACTCTAAAACCTCCATCACATTTTTATTTAATTACTTATTAAATAAAAATGTGTGGTAGAAGACAACTAATAAGTCTTGGCCGTTTTTCTAGTAGTAAACTGTCGAAAAACAAACTACCTACTGTTTAGTATAATGGTTCTGGATAGACTCCCGATTAGGTTGACCTCCCTTAAGGTTGTTTTGGATTACAATCTTTGATTTTGAAATAAGCATCACTATAGACAAGTCACTGACCTGGAAAATTGTCCCCATCCACGTCACTGGTTGCTATAGCCGATCCGAACCTTGATCTGTCCTCACTACTGACTATAATACGGTGCCTGATATCTTCGTTGACAGTTCTCTAAAACCAATTAAATATTAATTTCATTAGATAAACAAGTGGGAAAACAAATATTAATTTTACATAAAGATTAAATAAAATGAAAGTGAAAAAAAGAATTCTTTTTCCCTTGCGTCCTTAAAATATTTATCTTGTACCTCTCTACTATTGGATGCTAGCCATGAGCTTTGTGAAGTCTCTTGCTCTTCACTTTCTCGTTTTCTTTTTCGATCTTTGGGATACAATCTCAATATATTCACATATTTCTTTAAGAAGAATTAAATACCTTGGCATACACGGACCAAGTGTATCTCTGCACAACATCATAGAGCAATTCATTCATGGATCTACATAAGTCATTTGACAGAGTAGAATGAAAAAAGCCCTGGGCAAACTGCCGAGATAGGGGACTGATAGTTCCCTGTTTATTTATGTTCAAACCACTTTGAGCACTGTCCCGGCAACCTATCACCATGGTTTGGCGTTAATATTCATGTATATAGTGGCAAGGCTGTTTATCGTGTGTCTAGACATTACTTGCATCCAGAGAATAACATGTAATATTACGATTGGGTGATCTAGTTGTTGGTGGCTTGCTTTATGATGCCGTGAAGCTTGTAGAAATTCATCCAATATCCAAACTCTTACAATTATGAAAGGAAATGCATAATTGGGTAAATTTCTTGACAACAAAAACATTGAATGAGAAAGCACAGTTCGCTATACACTCGCAATGTTATACTGAACAAAAAGCTACTATATAGAAGTTAGAGTTGAATATGTCTGAGAGAGCATAAAGATAAATAAAAGCAGAGTAATACCGCATTCGTAATGAAAAGATTAGTAAGAGAATTGATCAGACACCGTTCATTCTAAGATAAGAAATTGTAAATGTTTATCATATATAGTTTCTAGTAATGCCATGTTGTATATAAAAGATTTAGAAAAAAATACTAAGTATTAATACTTACTACATCACCGCCCAAATAAATATGGAGTGCACCTGTTTCAGATCCTCTTTCCAAGTCATCTTGTGCTGGTGCACCAACCAATAGTTCTGATAGACCATCGTTATTTAAATCAGCTGAGCCCATAGCAGCACCGAACATTGAACCAACAACATCATCGGTTATTTTGACATATTTTCCACGTGAAAGCGCTCCACCTCTACTCTTATCTGCAGGTGCTTTTAGCATGTAAACCTTCTTTATGTTTTTTTGGCGTGTCGATACCCTTGAATATAGGAAGTGTACCTAAAATTTGATGGTAAAAAAGAGCATAATACTAATTTTACTTCAATCAATAGAATTGGTAATCGATCGTGTATTTTCATGGGCACTTAGCAATGTTAGGTGAAACTTTAATATCATTTTTATGTCCAAAGATATTTTTAGAAAAAAAAAATACTCATATCAGACTCATTCAGCGATGTTTAACATAAATAAATTATATAAAATGGTACCCACTGCTCCTTCAGTAGCCGTAGTCGTAATTGAACTGAAAGCAATATATACTTTTTGTGTGTCAAAAAACTTTCCTGTAGTCATCGAGTAACCTAAAAAAAACAAGAATTGAATATATCCTCAATAGATAGCTAGAGTTGTCTAGCTATAGACGAAAGCTGACGTCATATTAATAGTATTCATACTATAGATATAGTAATGATATACTATAATAGCATATATTATAATAGCATATATTATAATAGCATATATTATAATAGCATTGATAATAATGTTAGCTCTGATAGTATTTGTACTCTATAGATAATTCAATGCCATCAATCTTTTGTAGAACAAACGAAAGTACTTGTAGTAATTTGTTAACTAGTTAACTCTGTGACATCTGCAAATATCCTTCAAGTTATATATCAGATCAAACATTCTCTAAATAACATCCTTCTACTTTTTACTATCTACTATTGGAGGTTTGCTATAAGTTCAACAAGTTCGTCACTATCTTACACCATTCGACTTTTCCTAACATTATGCGCAGAAGGAGTCTCTTTCTTTCATGCCTTAATACACGACCACGTTTATTGATAGTGTCCTTCTTGTCTTCAATAAGGATACCTACTACATGAATGAAATACTTTACACAGTTTGAATAAACTAATAGCTCAAACATTACCTATGTGCCGATAGTTCTTAAAATACATCCTGTAGGAATCTGTTTCTTTATACCGTCCCACTGCAACTAAAGATACCGCCTGTTCAAGGGGATTTGATGAATTCATATAGACTATATCATCGGTGAGTGAAACTTTAGCTACCAACAGCATTTCATTGACTTCATCTATTAAAGTCTTCCAACCAGTGCCACCGTATAAAATATCTGCAAGTTGAGATTTGAAATTTATAATTATAGCATTCCATAGGGAACTGTCCGTTTCGTGGGATAAAAGATAACCCATATATTTATCTAGGCTTGGAACCATCCGTGTACTTAATTTCACCAAAATCCGTGCAATAGTTTTTGCGTGAAGGAGTAACAAACATTTACAATGAAATGCAATACAATACAAACTTTCGCCAAAATAATATAAGCAAGATTTTTGCTCTTTGCCTTGATATTATGTTAAGAGCCTAAGAATAAAATTTTGATGCTTTAAAACATATGTTCAATTCCTATTAAATTAATATATTTTAAAAGGGAAAGATTTGCTTGTTTGCATTGAATAGGTTCCAAAACTACTGGCCTGTTTTTTTTATTTCTTTCAACTACGGGAATCTACAGCGTGGATGTTGTAGACTACTTTCGGTCAAGTCAAGTTGTGGGAAAACAATATTAAAAAATATTCTATTCGAAAATATAATGTGAAAACTGATTAGCTACATATTCTAGAATTGGTCTAGACTTTGATTAAGTAACTATAATTGGAATGGGAATTCTAATCAGTAAATTAATTGGTTTTAAGTCGTAGCAGTTAATTAGTTACCTTTACTTTCGTTAGCACCTTAGCATTCAGGTAGATCTATTTTCGGAGATCATATACTTGGGTAACCAATTTAAAGTGAAATTCCACAATATTTATGTTTGTTATTTGCAGCTTTGCTATTCCCGTAGATAAAAGACTTTTATAAATCAGTCTAATAATTTCGGGGCCTATCTAATGCAAACAAATAATCAAAACTTTCTTTAAAATATATTTATTTTATTGGAAACTTTGAAAGGCATGAAATAAAAACTTTAAAAAAATTGAACCGACTTCAAACTTCAAAAAATGATAATTAATACTTATCTCAAACTTATCTCGGGCATTTATCATTTAATTAATAACCTTAAAAAACCTCCGCTTGACTTTAATAGCATTTTCTTGAATAAGTCGCTTTTTATCTTTTAAAGTAGGTTATATTCATTTAATTCTTTAATAAAATTATAAAATTTCATACTAGACTCAAACAGAAATCTTGAACAGGCTATTTGTGATATGAAAAGAAGCTTTACTGGTTAAGCGAAGCTAGCAGATAAGAATTCATGTTAATATTACAAAGAAAAAATAAAATATTTTCTGTGGATGTATTGTATGTGTATGTTTGAATGAACTCATTATACGCAGTTGGCATGGCTATAATATACGCTGGCGTAGACGGTAAATTTACAAAACTTTATTTCATCCTTTTAAATATGAATTTACCCTGAATAATACTGCTCACGTGGCTCGAGTACACCTACACGTTTAAAATTATATTACTCAATAATTATAAATAATCTTAGTTGATTTACAAAAGAAATACTAATAAATATTAGGTTACATTACGAAAATTGCTCGGATACCAGATTATGACGCAAAATCACTTGTTTAATGTAAATATGAAACAACGATGGCACACCAACACCTAAAACCGAGATATACCTCTGGAACATTTAATTTTTCATTATTATATTTTGATTAATTTTGCAATCACAATGCCATACTGAAAATTATTCTTAATACAAAATGCCTAAAAAAATCCACTTGGTACCTGGCACCCTGAGATGGGAATCGAACCCACGACCTTTCCCAATCCAAAAGGTCGAGGGTTCGATTCCCATCTCATTACTCCCATTGTGCAAGACGAAAATAATAAAGCAGCGTTAACAGAAGTAATTTTAGAAAGAAAATAAATAATAGAATCGGGTGTTACTTTCAAGACCATTGTTACTAAGATAAGATAACAACATCCACATTTAGTCAGTATCTGTAAGGTCTGGTGGTCTACTTTCTTTATCCACAAACGAAATTTCAGTAAATTTTGTTTATTTTTTTATTATTCTTTCGTTAAAATCATATGAAGATTATCGGTGCATAAAAGACAGCGTCAGATCCTACCTCCGTTTCGAAATTATCGAAAAGTGCGTTTCTTTGGACTCATATTAGCGTTTTCAAATTAGACGATATATTGTTTTCAAATTTTCAAAGAAACAGGGTAGGCCTTGATGTGTTATTTGATACCTCGCAAGGGAAAGGGACACGTGGAGATATAGATAAATAGATTGGTGTTACCTTTGATTCCATTGCTATAACTGTAACACTACAATGTGGAGTAACTCCCAGTTAGCTGCTGTGCGCAGCCACGTGCACAATCCCTCAGCTACAAGAAACAACTACTCTACACGTATTTCACGCCACCACAACTTTGCACAGCAGGTCTTGAAAATACTGCGTGTGGAAGTTGTTTTCAAATAGAAAGTTGAAGTGCTTACGGATTGGCTCCACTGATCCCGGATCTGACTGATGCTTCTCGATCATACCGCGGTATCTGTGAGCAGTGCCATCGTAAGTGAAACAAGTTCCGTACGAGAAGTTCTTCAAATCCTTGGGAGTAGTTGTCCATAACGGAGCACAAGTCTGGAGAATTGTAAACAAAGAATGATTTTAAATAAAGAAATTGGAACTGATAAATTTGATTTTGTTCGTATCGACACGTACCATAAAATAATCCGTTGTAGCGGCTATAGATGCGCCAAGATTGAATTTAATATCTGACGTGTATTCTGAAAAATTTCACTCTGTAAATAAGTATGTTTCGATATTTTTCTATAGCACTTTAATGAGTTTTGTAGCCGATAAGAGTGTTATCTAAAGTCAAAAGAGGTAATTACTTGAGAAAATGTCATAACTCAAGCAAAATATTGCTATCCAATAGATGAAAATTTGAATGAAATAAGAATAATAATTGAGAGTGAATGATTATTTGCTGATTTTCTCAAGTAATTATTCTCTCGACAAAGATTCCAGTGGAATTGGTCAATGTGGAAAACAAACATTGCCTATGTAAATATGTATAATATAAACATCTGGTAAACTATACTAGTTTCAATGTTAAAATCCTGTTTATAATCACTTAAGTACACATGGCTACACATCAGATTACCACGATACGGCAAATATTCGCAATAGATTTTGACCCGTACCCCCAATATATCACTACATAGTATAAAACAAAGTCGCTTTCTCTATCCCTATATCTTTAAGTATGCTTTAATCTTTAAAACAACGCAACGAATTTTGATGCGGTTTTTTTTCATGGATAGGGTGATTCAATAGGAAGGTTTTTATGTATAATACAAGACCACACCGGCGAAGCCGCTGGCGGAAAGCTAGTTAAGGTATGAAATCAAGTGAGGAAATTTGACTGTTATATATAACCTGATATGCTGTTGACTGTACTTTGTAAATGTTTGTTTACTTAACTTAACCTACTAACATCAATAAGAGTCCATCGCTCAACTATGAATTGGTTTCACGTTGTAAGTGTAGTTGAATACTGTTCCTGGGGCAGGCAAAACAATTATTAATACTGTGTGAGCATTGATAGGAAACGGTACATATCGTTATCCATACAACTCAGTATCGTTTCCGTCGGACATATTCGTTTCTTAAAACGATACACTTTTTTTCGCTTGCTCTAGAAGCAGACTACTGTCACAGTTTATACGAAAAATCAAGTATGACATACGAACGGACAGACAACAGGTGCACCTATAGGTGTACCGTTTTTCCTTTTGAGGTGTGGAACCCGAAAATAGTAGTACATATAAGTAATTTATATATAAGTAAAAATAAGCACATAATACAATAAAATACCTCTATTGTACGGCGCCAGCTTATCCACATCTATATCGACGTCCTGACAATAATTACTTTTATTTACAAAAATATCGTTTATATTGCATTGAAAAACCTTCCCTATTAAATTACTGTGAGGTGCTCCCACAACTGTAAAAGAAACATATAAATTAATATACAAATGTGTTGTTTAGGAATCAATAACCATATTATAAAAGATGACATACATCGCTCAAGTTCATTACAACCTATTTTATAAAGTAGGTAGTTGAAATTGTCAAATATATAATTTTTATCTCAGTAAATTCGTTAACCGAAGCAAACAAAATAAACATTATGATCATAGAACATGAAGAAATCGAGAAATCGTATTTCATTTTATTTAGTTTTAAAATTGAAAGCTTATCTACAGCGAATTTGTAAAAATACAACAAGTCACTTGATGAATATTTCTTTCATCTCGAGCTCTACTACACTACAACTGCACTTCGGATTGAACAAAAACGACTTATTCTTAATGAAAAACTCTTAAAAAACCACTTTGTCCCTGGCACTCTGAGATGGGACTCGAACCCATAACCTATCGCAATTCGGGCGACTGCTCTAATCACTGAGCTACCCAGGATCCTGTTATTTTTTCGCTGCTATAAAGCGTATTTTTATCAATGTTCAGGCAGTCGCCTGAATTACGAAAGATTTTGGGGTCAAGTTCGAAGGAATAATAAAGCTGAAGAATTTGTTTGTTTCGTTGAACTCTATAATCTCAAGAATTACTGAAAAGAATTTTTTTTTTGTGTTGAATACTCCATTTATTGAGGAACACTACGCTTTGACTTATAGGAGTGAAGCGGCAATGAAAAATGTTTCCAAAACGAGAGAATATTATACTTTTTTAAAGCTTTCCTTCCGTAAACGGTGAAAGTTAGGCAAAAATCATGTATTACGAAATTGATCCCATTAAAAGTTTTAAAAAAGTCCGCGGCAGCATATTTCTATCTTATATCTTATCCCGGAAAAAAGCACACAAAGGGATGAAAATGGGAGTGGAAGTTTGTATAGGGCATTAAATCGTTACCATAGAAACCATTGCTTACAATTCATTTGTCATTGTAATAACTCGTATATTCCATGTCATCCTTTTCCAAATCCATACTTAAATGGTCTCAATACAAGTATTTTATATTACTTACTGGGATAATTTCAAGATTGTAAATGATGGAAATAATGTTAATAAAGAACATTTTTATTTTATTATTTATTTTATATTATCATGCATAAAATCAACGCCATCTATTAACATTCGGAAACAATACAAACTTGATTTACGTCACTCAAAAGAATTTGTAGTAAAGGAAAAAATTTTCGTTATGATTAAAATGCAGACACACAGATGTAGTTTAGTTCATATTTAACATGAATGAAATATCGAAATGTTTTGATACGTTCATTACATTTTTAGATTTACACGTCTAGTACGTATTTTTATGAATATATATCGGATGGAGGAAAAAGATTTGGTTTAGGCAAAATAACTTTAAGGAAAAGTACAGAATATGATAATGATGCTTTTGAAAAAACCAGTCAAGTGCAAGTCAGACTCGCGCATGAAATGTTCCGTAACATTATGCATTAAAAGAGTTTTAAAAAAATCACATTTTTTATTTTCTATGGAATTGCTCGAAAGTTTCGAGTTAAATACAATTGGTAGACTATTTATTACTCGTAAACTTGTAAAGGCAACTTAAGTGTGATAGTTTCAATTTTTACTAATGACCGTTAAGTTGGTAGAGAAAAGGGTCCCCTTCTCTCTACTCGAGTCTAACGAAAATTTACTCTTTAAATTGAAAAGTCTGTGTTTTGTTTTGAGACACAAC